CTTTATTACTATGATCATTAAACTCTACATGAATTATATTACTCAATTTCTTGAGTTGTAGCTAAACATGCACAAAAGTTTGCACTAATTAAACCGCAGTGTAAATGGAGACATATCTTGAAAATCCCAAAGGAGAACTGAGAAAGATGAAATGAAAAGTGGGATTCTGTAACGAAACAAATATAAAAGGAAAAATGGTAACCCGAAAAATGAACCAGCTGTATTCATATATCTGTTTAGTCCATTTAAATGGCTTCTTGCTGTCTATTTCTCATTTCTCAAATTCCCCCAGTTTGTGGGTTTTCTCTTTCTTCCATTATACGTCAGTTTTCTTCCCTTATCGGAGCTCTTTTCCCTTCTTACCTTTTAACCTTCTGCTACACTCTTTTGTCCTTCCAGGTTCAATCATCTCAACACCCCTCTAAAAATATGATAAAAACGAATACATATATTGACAGCATGACAATTTTGCAAAATGATTATTTTGTCAATCGCTTATTCTTTTTTGCTCTGCATATCTGCTTATAATTCACATCTCAGTCACCACACAGTTTTCTAGCTTACGTACAAGCAAGTTTTTTCCACTATAACCTCCTCCATTATTTTCTCTCGATTTCTTGACTTCACAAGATAAACCTACCTTTCTCAGAAATGGGTTGCAGTCACAATCTTGTGTGTGGCCATAGACTTCACCTTTTAGCCATTTATTTTCTCTTTCTCCTAATTTCGAGCTCATCACAGATAAGAATATTCAGAGGCGCAGAAGGTAAATTAAAATTAAAGACAAAACTTTTCTTCACTAAATGATAATTAAAAGATAAAAGTTTGTTTCTTTTCATGCTGGCAGGTAGAAAGTTAGTACAGAGGATCGACAATTCCCAGGTAAGTTTTGGATGTCTGGTTAACTCTTTTTACATCAATTTGTGTTTTTTTGTGTGTATGAACTTCATAAAAATGAATTCTTGAATATTGCTTGATTGGGTAGACAATAAGCGAAGAGAAGGCATCACAAATCGGTTCAAGGCCGCCACGGTGCAAGAGGAGGTGCAGTTCTTGTGAGCAATGTGAAGCCATTCAGGTGCCCACAAACCCTCAAACAAGAAACGAAATCAAGAATTCCATCGCGGCTTCAACCATTCGCTATGCTAGATCAGATGATAATTCCAACTACAAGCCCATGAGCTGGAAATGCAAATGTGGAAGCCTCATTTTCAACCCGTAATCTGATCATAATATTATATTATCCTGTATGTATGGTCCAAATGATAATTAATATTGTATTAATCAACTCTTCTTATTCTTTTTAAGTCTCTATTTTCTGGGAAAGAAATTACTGTTTCTTTTGTTGAAGAATTTCCCATTATTTATTACTGTTATCATAACTGCATGCATTAATTATATACATTTCTGAGGTCTTGTGATACTGTACTGTAGCAGAGATTCTGCTATGTACCACAGAGTAAATGCGATTTATTCGAAGTTGCTAGCGCATTAATTATCCCATACAAGATAAACAAATCTGGCAGTGGTAACTCATGAGTTAAACTGTTAAAAAGTTGATGATGTACATTTCTGTAT